ATCTATCTATCTATCTATCTATCTATCTATCTATCTATCTATCTATCTATCCATCCATACATACATACATACATACATACATACATACATACATACATCAATTTAATATAAAACCTTTAATGATGCCATGCGAAGAAATCAAACTGTTTCGAACATTTTAGGTCCTCAAGTAAAGATAAGATCAGCATGTTTTTAGATAAATATCTCATCATTTGCATATTGTACAAACTATCTGATCATATGAAACATATTTTGATACAAAAATAGTTGTTTAAATATAAATAAACATGTATGAACATATTCGCGTTGTATCTCGGTGCAATGCCAATAAAGTTTATTCTGATTCTGAAATGATGAACTGGAAAATGTTCATTCCCTTGAGTTAATGGATATTTAATGAAACAAGTGGTCTTTTTTGAGCAGAGCATCTGACTTTGTATGTATTTATTTTGTCGTGTTTTATGGAGACAACGCTGAAGACCTGTTGTCCCCGCTTGCCTCATAATCTAGCTTTTAGTTTTTGGACGTGTCACTGAGGACGACAAAAACGTGAGCGGCGTTCGCAGCATCCTAAGTATCGCGAGACTTCACAGCAGGAAACCCGCTAGTTATCGCGAGACTAGCATCCAGTCCTCTTGCTGAATCCAGCTGGGATCCTGCCTGCAGTTAACGGGGTAAGTGTCAATGAGGTGCAAATGCGGAGAAAATTACCTAAATATGTGGACGAGTATTAAAGCTGACCGCATATGTGTCGGTATTTAAACGCTCTCAGACGCATTTTAAGCTAACGACCGGCCGTTTTTCGACGACATCAGGCCGGCTGGTGCGTTTTTCTGTCGTGACTAACGCGGGCATTATAATTAATAAGCCGCACAAATTCGACCTGGAGGTTTTTACTCCCCTATTTAAAGAGCAGAAACAATAAGCCATTGTTACTGGCAAGCAGCCGGGCTCGACCAATGATCCAGCCTGGAGAACGTGACAGGAGCCACCGGCTGCTGGTACTGCAGCATCTCCTCTCCTCGCTTCATGACAGGTGCCTCTGCAGCTGTAACACGCTGTGCTAACAGCTCCTACCTCCGTGTGCTTCATGCAAATGACTCTATGATCTGTGACGACATTAGTTATGAGCTCTAGTTGGAAATAAAAATGAAAAGTGTGCTCCAGGTGTGCTTTCTGTGCACTGTTTGCCCCTCAGAATGAACATCCTGTTAACATCTGCACCTCAGCTGAAGGAGAGATGGCCATTTAAAGGCCCTTAATTATCACAAAGACTGTGAACTACACATAATCTTGGTCACCTTAGTTAAAAAAATTGTGATTTGATAGTTTCTGTTGTTTCAGGCATCAGCAGACACCTGAACAGGTAGTTAACTTGCACACTCTGAAATCTGATCTGCAGAAAGGAGACTGGCTGCTGTTTTCCATGTAACCATCCAAAAACTGAGTCCAGTCTGTTCTCATTGAGAGATGTGAAGGGTGTTCTCACTGACTTTCCTCTGAGGTAAAAAAAAAAAAAAAAAAAGCTTCTAAACCTGGGCAATTCAACTAAATTGCCCAGGGGGGCACAGTTACTGAGAGCCAAGAGCTCAGGGGCCAGAGAGTTATTGTCACTAAGTTTGTTTTACGTTTTAAAATCTAGTTTTATCTATATATGAACCCATGGGTGGGCCGAACAGCTCACCCATGGGCCTGATTAGTCCACGGGCTGCCAGTTGAATAGTCTGTTCTACACTGTCTCATCATGCTTCTTCTTCTTTCGGCTGTTCCCTCTTTAGAAGTTGCTGCAGAGTCGTCTTCCATTCCATTCTGTCCTCCTTGTCCTCTGTCCTCACTCTATAATCCAGGTCCTCTGTTTGCTTCCATATATCACCTTCCTCTGTCTTTTTCCTGGCAGCTGCATTTCTATCATCCTTCTACCAGTATACCCACTGTCCCTCCTCTGGACATGTCCAAACCATCTCAGTCTGGTCTCTCTAACTTTATCTCCCAGTTGTTCAACCTGGGCTGTACCTCTGATGATCCCATTCCTAATCTTATCCAGCCTTGTCAGTCCTAAGGAGAACCTCAACATCTTCATTTCTGCCACTTCCAGTTCTTCCTTCTGTCTTTTTGTGTTCTCCACAGTCTCCAGACCATACAACATAACTGGTCTCATCACTGTCTTGTAAACTCTTCCTTTGATCTTTGCTGCCACTCTTTTATCACAAATCACTCCTGAAACTTTTCTCCATCCACTCCATCCAGCCTGGACTCTCTTTCTCACCTCTTTACAACAGTCCCTATTTTCCTGGACAGTGGACCCCAAGTACTTGAAGTCCTGCACCTTTGTGACTTCCCCTCTTTGTAGTCGCTGAACAAACTCACAAATTAGTTTATGCAAAAGTGTTTTTCTCTGAAATCACCTCCTGACATAACCCTCACCATTTACCCAGGTTTGGGATCGGCACAAGTGATGCACTGGCTTGCACTGGCTTGCACTTTTGTCTCAGCACTGTTTTTTTTGACTTTCGAAACAAGCTTCATGTTTGTTTGTCTGCTTTGTTGCTCAGTAATCCCTGGTTCTTTTAAAGTTGCAATAAGAGCCGCTGGTCATCATGGGAAACATCTTTGGGAACCTGCTGAAGAGCCTGATAGGCAAAAAAGAAATGAGGATTCTCATGGTGGGGCTGGACGCTGCTGGGAAGACCACCATCCTCTACAAGCTGAAGTTGGGGGAGATCGTCACCACCATCCCCACAATAGGTCTGTAGGGGAAAATGATTCAATATTGAAAAAAAAAAAATTGGGAGGAGTTGAATTAATTAAACATCGTTTTGATAATTCTTTCTTTTCAGGGTTTAATGTGGAGACAGTGGAATACAAAAACATCAGCTTCACTGTGTGGGACGTGGGCGGCCAGGACAAGATCCGTCCCCTTTGGAGACACTACTTCCAGAACACACAAGGTGAGCTCGTCACGTTGGCACTCCACTCATCCACTTTGGAGTCAACGAGGCCCTTTTAGTCCCGCTGAACAACCTGCTGCACACGCTCGCCCCCAACACCTGAGGGTTTATCTGACTCATGTTTTAGATGAGCTCATTTACATACAGCGTGTTCTCAGAGTAACACTGAAATCTTTATTAACTAAAGGCTTAGCGTTCTTTGAAGGAATGTACGTCACCCGCCACTTTTTATACTTTTCGCGCCACCTAGTTAGCCTCCAGTTTATTTCTTCTAAACTCAAGAAAGGGTATAAAATGAGTGGGGGAGCTGGACCAAGTAAGAAGCAAAAAAAACCTACCATTTCCATACGGAATGGGAGGAGGACTTTTTGTTCACGTCAGATTCAAAGTGCGTTTGCCTCATCTGCAAGAGTATCATTGCTATTCCAAAGAAGGGAAATGCATTTTTGGGCTGTTCATAAAAACTCCAACACGGACTTCCTTCCGAAAAGCGAGCTGAGAAAGAAGAAGGTGAACAAAAATCCTAGTTATCCGGATAGCAGTTATTTTTTCTTACAGCTTGACAACAAAAGCGAAGGCAGCAACCGAAGCATCATTCTGGGTGAGTCGCTTCATTGTTAAGCACAAGAAGTCCTTTCAAGATGGAGCGATAGTAAAAGAGTCATTTGTAGAAGCAGCTGACTCATTGTTTCGAGACTTTAAAAACAAACCAGAAATATTATCTTCAATCAAAGCTCTCCAGGTATCAAGAAGTACAGTTATACGGCGCTGTGAAGCCATGTCCGAGGATTTCACCCAGCAACTTTGGAAGGATTTCGCGGCCTGCGAGTGTTTCTCACCGCAACTGGACGAGTTTACAGACGTGAGAGACACAGCCCAGTTGTGCACGGATGGTGTTTACCGGTATCTGGAGTGGAGGATGAGATTTTGACACTATAAGCTGACATTCTCTTAAGGCCAGGACTCGTGGACAGTTCTGGAATTTACTCACAGAGGAAAATACCCCAACATGAGGAAATGTTACCTTCTTGACTGCATTATTCGGCTCCACTTATTTATGTGAGTCAGCCTTTTCCCACATGAAGATTATTAAGTCCAAATACCGTTCCACCATGACTGATGATCATTTGGAAGTGTGCTTGAGGCTGGCTATCAGCAGCTACTGCCTGGACTATGCATCCCTGGCTGACTCCATTCAGTGCAGGTCATCAGAGTAAGATAATGACAAAAAATGTACAGAGTTGTATTGCACAATATAGGTTCATGCAGTTACACAAGTTACATCAACATATATTGAACATATAAAGGATACTTAATATGTTTTTAAATAAGTATATATTTTATATGTTTATAGTAGGCTCCAAAGTTTACCTCAATATCTGTTAAACTGGCTCATTTGTACGTATTTGTGCGTTTGCAAGGATTGCTTCGCTGTAGCCGCCATCTTTACTTGGACTGACAACAAAACTTGTTCATTTGCAGATGTCCATCCAAAACAAAAACTTTATCGCTCTGCAGTGGTGATTTTAGCTTCTTTTTGGGGGTGCTCAAGCACCCCTAAAATTTAACTCAGCACCCTTGAAAAATAACATAAAAATATATATATTTTTATTTATTTATTTTTGTGCAGTTCTGGGTTTGTGTTTTGGGTTCAGTTTTTTGCATTTATGATTCAGTGCAACAAAATAAACAAAATGAAAAGGTAACAGATCATTATAATACTTGGTTTGTTACATAATGACTTTAACTGCTGGATGTCCGGCCTCTGAGCTGCTGGCTTTGAGTAGCTGTGGTCCCCTGAGCAGTTTAGTTGAACAGTGCTGCTTTAGAGGGTGGAATAGTTTATTCCATTTCCAAAACCTAAACTGAGTCTGGAAAAAAAATGTCAAAGGTGGATAAAGCCCTGCGGCCGACCTCATGAGCAGCTGAACAGTGATAAACAGGAAGTACCACATGTTCATCTGTACGAAGGTAACTGCAGGTAAATCCTCCATTTTCTGTCATAATTGCATTGTATATTAATGGTTTTATTAAAGGTTTGAAGCTGCTTTGTTTTGTGTGTTTTAAATATAGACATATGTTGCAACTTCTGGTTGCACACGTTTAGTCTTTGTTTGTTATGATCAGTTAAAACTAAACTGATTTTGTACAAAGCATTTAGGTTGTGTAATGTAAAGCGGAGTGCTACGTCTGTAGCATCTTAGCTAGCGCGTCTGTATTGCACACCGCTAGCTTAGCGCTGCTTCTTGGTGCGCCAAGTTCTCTAAAATACTTATTAAATCAAGTGTTTACTTAAACTTAGATGTTTAACAACCCATTAAATACACCAGAATGCAGGAGATGGCATCTACTTCATTCAAAAATTTTCAGACCCCCCCCCCACACACACACACACACTCATTATGAATGCTTCTAATGCCAATGGCCACCGCATTGTTCAAGCCAAGAGTTATTGTCAGCACTGGGGCTAAAACACCCCTAAATTCAGATTCTAGACTCGCCCCTGTCGCTCTGCCTTTAGAAGCGGGCGATAGTGATTAAACTTTTTTGTTGACGTTGTGAGACACTAGTAAAGCAGCAATGAGTCACTGTTTTCTTTTTTAATTATTATTATTAATTAATTAATTTTTATTGTTTGTTTGCTTTGTTTTCCTGCTGCAGGTTTGATCTTTGTGGTGGACAGCAATGACCGGGAGCGAGTCAACGAAGCCCGTGAGGAACTGATGAGGATGCTGGCTGAGGACGAGCTGCGGGACGCTGTTCTCCTCGTCTTCGCTAACAAACAGGTACAGCTCCCCAGCAGCAGCTCCTTCTGCACATCAGAGCGAAGGCTTTTATTTCTGACTAACTGTATCACTTCACTCAGGACCTGCCCAACGCCATGAACGCCGCAGAGATCACAGACAAGCTGGGCCTGCACTCCTTACGCCACCGCAACTGGTACATCCAGGCCACCTGCGCCACCAGCGGGGACGGCCTGTACGAGGGCCTGGACTGGCTGGCCAATCAGCTGAAGAACAAAAAGTGAAGGGGGAAGAGCCTGGGTGCCAGCTCCAGGTGGTCTTTACAGTGGGTCTGTTGTGTTTACCTAAAGATGAAAAGACTAAAACAAAAGCTCCAGGGGGGAGTTACTCTCAATGGCTTTCTCCCCCTGCAAATATTGATTATATTTATTTCCATACTTTGATTCATTTGCATAATTTTGGTTTGTGGCGAGAGTTTTCTTTCACTTACAAGCAGACGGTGTCAAAGTGAACCAAAATATTTTCCACTTTTTAAACTGAAAGCATAAATCCTGACATAAAATAATGTATAAAGGCATATGCATTTCCCTTTGTTTGCCGTCTGTGACCTCCATTAATGCAAAAACGTGACAAATCTGTGACGGCAGGGCAGCCTTCCTCCTCAGAAATGGTAAACTCCGTGTAAATTATAAAAGAATGTCATAAATGATAGAATATCAAAATTTTAATGCAATGTATCAAAATTTAACATTATATTTTATTGTCCAAAGTTGTTCACTGCCACAGGATTATGCTCTTTAAAGGTTATTTTCATCCAGATTTGATTTAAATATAAAGTATATTGACTTATCTATTTTTTGGAAACACAAATAGTTCATGTTCTGAGAGTTCTTGTTAATATTTTCATATTTATTGATATATGTATGCTTTATACATGCATCGTAGGATTTCTCCCCCTTTTACTGCAATGTGCGTTTTACTGTGAAGACAGCTGATATATAATATAAAATAGTAAATCCAGGAAAAGAAAGCAAAACCCCAAATTAAAGTGAATATGACTGCTTCCCAGTCTGCACGGAGACTCTCCCAGTGCTGGGCTTGTTAGAGGCCGCTGCTGTAAATAAAGATTTGTTCTTGCCTGGCTCAGCGAGGGTTAAAAAGCATCGACGAGGTGTGATGACTGAGGCGATGCAGGTGACAGAGCAGGCGCTCCGACGGTTGGAGAAAACGCTGCCACTTGGCCGTGGAGAGTTTGGCAGCGCAGCATGAGATCGGCGATATTAGAACTTACACGGTGAATGATTTCTTTACAATCGGTTTTGTGCTGCCTCATATTCGTCAAACAATCTCGCATCGCTTGTCATCCTGTCACGCATTACACTAACACTTCTTATTTTAGCCCAATCTGTGTGTGTGTGTGTGTGTGAGTCAGGTTGCACATCGTCTCACTGTCTTGCGTTTCTGAACAGTGTTCTTGTTTCATTTGGTTGATTTGGGGCTTATTTAATTAACACAACAGGAAAACAGGATGAGGGGTATCGTAATACTGCAACACACAGCATGTTAATACTGTACAAGATGTGTAATAAAAGTGAATTATACTGTAATAGCCTGTTTCCTCAGACTATATTTGTTAGTCAACATTATTGCTGCTGGTTGGATCGTTGCTGTACTAATTACTGTCATGGGTTTTGTGTAAAGTTTACTGAACAACCTTCTAATATGCAAACAAGCATGCTTTTCTATGTCAGCTGAAGTGTATATACTGTATGTTTATGATGTAACTGGAGGAGCGTTGTGTGGTGTTCAGCTGGCACTGCTGTTGTTACACCTGTAGATAGTGGGGTCGTTGTGCTGGCAGGTGCGTTTGTCTGACAGCAGCTTGTGCGTGAGAGTGTGACATGTTATCTATCATGTTCGGTTTGGTGTGAACATGTTTCTTTTTGTGGCCTTATTTCGTCTGCGGTTATTCATTTCTCTTTAATAACAGGCTTGTAAGTAGGAATGTCCAGCATTCAAAGTGTTTCACCTTTTATATCTGTGATGATGTCGTGGCTAAACATCTAAATTTATTTATCTTTTTTTTTTTTTGTTGTTGCTGACATTAAAAAGTAAAAGAGGACAATTACCACTGACGTGTTTTCAAAATGTGTATAATTGCATTCAGTGAAATAATATGTAAAAACTAGGATAGGGAGAAACATGAACCGGTGCAAGAAAACAATAAAAAAGTGTTGAATGGTTTGATGATTTCAGCGATCAATAAAAAACCAAAACAAACGTTGGGTTTTCCTCACTTGTTCTTGGTTTGAGTTTTTTCTTGCCACCGTTTGGATCAAACAGTGTTGAGTTTTCTGTTTCGCCTCCTTCAGAGGAATCATTCTTCCTCTGACTTACTGATAGATCCACATCTAAAGATGCAAAAAGGTTGAAATTGTACTTAATGCAGAAATGTGAACCCCTTCTGCCTCCAAACGATTCGGTTGATTTGTCTTCACAATAAGAACTCTGGCTCCTCTTACATATTTATTTAATCTAAGTGCCTAATCTGTGAATCCGCTGACTTTGGATTTTCAAAGACGTGAATAGAAATGCAAACACTAAAATCATAAAATATATACAGCTAAATATTAGAGGCAGATTTTTGTTAGATGAAAATTGACTACCTGCAAAATAGATTAAAAAAAGATCAAATCTTTTTTGGGGAAAAGCATAAATATTTGGATGAAATCTGTCATTTGTGTTAATAATAATCAAAATGTTATTAAGTTTTAAAAGCAGTAGTTATATTCATAAGTTATTTTAAGACCGCATCCATCCACTTTGATTCACTTGGACTAACTGTTAGCTCTTTATTTTTATTTTAATTTTTTCATTTTTTTTTTAATTATTTTTATTTATTAGCTCTTTATTTTTTTTCCCAGTCAGAAAATATTTTTAAACTTGCCAAACATTGAAAGAGATCTGCTACAGGTAAGACGTTAATTGTTCATTGCTTCTCCACAGAAGCCTTAAATTATTATTTTTGGACATTAAAGTACTTCTAATCTTATGACTAGTTTAAGATAAGGTAACTTTTCATAAATATTAGGACAGAAACCGTGGTGGGCAGCTCAAAGAGTGGGAACAACATACTTTTACCACTTTCTGAGTTTTTGGTATCAGGAGAAGTTTAGCCCATTTCCAGAGAGAGTCATAGTCTGAGCTGATCAGAGGGGCTCGTATGGGGGGGTGCCGCTGTGTCTCCAAGGGTGTGACAGCAGTATGTGAGTCGGACCTGGTCCCGGGGCCACCAGCCCCCCAGGGCCCCCTGCAGGCCGGCTACAATAGCAACCCCAGGGTGGGTGCCATAGCTGGGATTCCCACCCGTAACCAGGACACCTTCACCCGGGGCACAGACACACTGGCAGCAGCCACACAATCAATTCATCAATCTCTGAAGGGAGTGGAAACTAAAAAAAAAAAAAGGCCACAGCAGGCACTTCTCACAGTTTGGCTGCAGGACAGGGCCACCAGGACTGACACGGAGGTGGACACCACGAAGGTCATGTAAAAGGTCAAATCCTGCAAACAAAACATGGAAGCATCACATATTTACCAAAACTAGTTGTACGTACAGATTAGTTGGAATCCATCCAGCTCACTGAAACATACTCCATACTTTCAGTGTCTGATGAAGCAAAGCAAAAAATGTGACAAGAAATGATCTGTTGTTTATTTTACAAAGATAAACTAGCATGAAGAGATTTGTTGGTTCCCTTAAGGAGACAATAATTGTTTTGCATTATAGTCCTAAGCTGTTTTTCTTTTGGCTGCTCCCTTCTGAAGGGGTCGCCAATGCGAGCGAACTTGCATTTGGCGAATGTTTTACAGTACGGTACTCTGAAAGTCCATGTTGATGCAACCTGGGCTCGAACCTGCAGCTTCAGAATAAGATTGTAGCTCTGACCACTGAACCACTACAACCCGTTATGTTTTACATAGTTTGACCTGAATTAGTTTCACATACGCCTACAAGCTTTTCATCAGCCACTCAGCCTATTCAAAGAGAACAAAACTGCCACTGGATGGTTTGGTGCTGGGGCAGCTGTGGCAGCAGTCACCATTCAATGAGAGAGGTGGAGGTTCGGATCCACCTGCAGTCACATGCTGAAGTGTCCCTGGGCAAGACAATGAACCCCTCATTACCTCTGATATGTGTCCCATGAATGTGATAAAGCATTGATTTTTCTTGGCAGCATGACGGCTCAGTGGTTAGCACTGTTGCCTCACAGCGAGAAGGTCCTGGGTTCAATCCCAAGTTGAACCTGGGGTTTTTCTGTGTGGAGTTTGCATGTTCTTCTCGTGCTTGTGTGGGTTTTCCAGGTACTCCGGTTTCCTCCCACAGACCAAAAACATGCAAGTTAGGCTCATAGACATGGGCTGGCCCACTGCAGCGGTACGGCGGAGTGCGTGGTGGAACTGTCATTCATTCATGCAAAGAAATGGACAGAACTTCATAAAGCACCGTTCTACAAAGTGTTTTAAGTTGATGCCTGTCATTCATACATATGTGTGAATTGTATGTGTGAATGACAGGCATCAACTTAAAACACTTTGTAGAACGGTGCTTTATGAAGTTCTGTCCATTCCTTTGCATTAATGACCGGCAGTTCCGCCACATTTAAAATGGCGGCGACGTCAACGTACGATTCAGCGCTCAATGGGACGTCTATGTATTTATGTCTATGGTTAGGCTGTTAGGTTTTCTCCGCAGTGTGTCTGGGCTCTCCCTTAGAGACAGGGTGAGAAGCTCGATCATCCGGGAGGGACTCGGAGTAGAGCCGCTGCTTCTCCACGTCGAGAGGAGTCAGTTGAGGTGGCTTGGGCATCTGTTTAGGATGCCTTCTGGACGCCTCCCTGGTGAGGTGTTCCGGACACGTACCACCGGAAGGAGGCCCAGAGGAAGACCCAGGACACGCTGGAGGGACTATGTTTCTCGGCTGGCCTGGGAACGCCTCGGGATTCCCCCGTAAGAGCTGGCCCAAGTGGCTGGGGAGAGGGAAGTCTGGGCCTCCCTACTTAGGCTGCTACCCCCGCGACCCGACCCCGGATAAGCGGAAGAAAATGGATGGATGGATGGATGGTTAAGCTGCCTTCAGACCCAGGCCTCCCTTGCAAACGAGATCTGTGATCTCACTGGGATTTGTCTGGTTAAATAAAGGTTAATAACAAAATTCTCTGTACAGATATAGAGTGCTGTATGAATGGGTAAATGACGGCACAGATTGTAGTGTAATGCGCTTTGAGTATCTTTATAGGACAGAAAAGCGCTATATAAGTACAGTCCAGTTACCATTTAACATTTAACAATTACTGTTGTGTGCACTCAACTGAACATGGAGCAGAGAAAGTTAAGCCATCTGAAACATTCAGAAAGATTATAATCGGTAAAGGCTACAAGACCATCTCCATGTTCTTCTGACCACAACTGTTAATAATACTGAAACATACAAGGTTCATAGGACTGAACCAAACCTCCCAGGAAGTGGACGCAAGAGAAAATGCAATCCCAGACTGATCAGACGTAGAGTGCAGATGAACGAAAAAGAGCCAAGAAGAAACTTTCAAAACCATTTAAACTGAACTCCAAGCAACTTCAAGGTATGCCACTTTCTGAATGCACCACCCATCATTTTGAATCTTAATGAGCTCCATGGAAGAAGACCTTGGAGGTTTACAACTAGACAAACACAAAAATATAGACAGGAGTTTGTCAAAGTGCATGTTGACATGCCTCAAAGATTCTGGGCCTGATGAGACGGAACTGGAGCTTTTAGAAAGTCGCACTCGTGTTTTTGTTGAACTGTTGAAGATATGAATGTATCCACATCTTTGTGTGTGTGTGTTCACTGACAGCTGTCCAGCAATTTGAGCCATGATGTTTTGCCATCTGCTGTCCCACTAACAATGGTAGCTGGTTATTTAAATAAAGAAGACTGAAAAAAATAAAAAAAATTAAACAGTTGCTGTGTTTGAGTAAATGTGGGGTCCACCTGCAGCAGCTCTGAGATCTGAAGTGCAACTGTCAGACTCTGTCTCCTCCTGCTGGCCAGAAGACTGCTGAAATAATCCTGCACACATAAACTACTAAAATAAACTGCTTATTTTTATACACTATGAAGTCATAACAGGATTTAAAAAACACCATTAGATTCACTTGCACATCAAACCCTGATGGTAAATTTCACACAATCTGGGATCTGTTTCAGTCATCTTCCCTGCATCCTGATGCATGCTCAATCTTCCCTGTAATTTTCAAAATTAAGATTTAACAGCTCATCTGCCAGAAGCACTTACTAATACTCATCTATTAGTCCCTATCAGTCCCCCACATCCCGCTCACAACTGAATGTTCAGGAATTTTAACCATTTTCCCCCAAAAATTAAGTGTGCTCTTGTTTTGGGTTCAGAAGTCACTTGACTATCTGACAATGTGGCCCTTGTGACAGGCTGCTCCGTACGCATCAAAGAGGTGATTAACCAGTTGACGGGGCTGCGGGGGACAATACTGCTTTTTACAGGGAGAACAGTGCAAGCACTCAGGCTGAGAGCACAACGATGTGTCTACATGCAGCAGCTGAACCAAAATAACTGCACACAAAGAGGCAGACAGGCTGAGCAACATGTTGTGTTGGAAGATGCCTTTCACTGACTTTTATGATATTCAGCTTTGCCTTTTTGTGCATGCTTTAGTAAATTGTGAGTTTAATTAATACATATTTATTAAGTGCACTTGAGATGTTAGATTCTTTTTTGGAGGATTGAAGCTGCAGCTTGGAGGTGGAGGTGGGAAAAGGACGGACAGACCTCTGGTTGGTGAATAATTCTGGTTTTCGGCCAATCAGGTGCCTCTGTCTGCGAGGGAAATCCCTGGATCACAAAAAGAGGCATTTCTACACTTTTCTCTCTGGCAATTGATTTGATCAGTTTCACCGGAGCACCACTACAGAGGCATTTATTCTAGTTGTTTTGCCTGGATGATGTTTGACTTTCTGTTTTCTTACTGTCCTCAGAGCTGTTTGGAGGATTCACGCGTGTGAAATGCTGAAACCTCTGTGAGGACGTTGGACATCAGTATGGACCTGCTGAAAATCAGATTGTTTTGTGTAATTTTGTGGTTCAGGATCCCAACAGCATATGTTCAAACACATGAAGGTTGGTGAATTTATATATATATATTTAAATATTAGAAACCTTGATTTCATTAATTCCGCTGCTGCATAAAAGCTCATCATCACCTAGTGTTTATGAGCACTCATATCCTTAACACTTGGGACATTAAAATATTTTTGGTAAACAGAATTTTTTTAAGGATGTAAACTGATAACCATTTTTTCCCATCCAGTCAGTTCAGCTCTTGTGCAAAGATATCTGGTTCAATTCCTCCATGGGTCAATAAAATCTTATACAAGTCGCTGGTAAAAAAATGTTTAAAACTAAAATAAACTTACAAAGAGCCACTGAGAGCAAAAGTGCTCCAAGTGCACCTTAATGTGACCATTTAAACAAAAAGTTTACAATGCACGGTAATCAATAGTCCCAAAGACATTAATGAACATGGTTCATGAACATTTATAACCCTTAAAGCGGTCAAATTGTATTGATATTAAATGTAATTTATAAACTTGCACTGTGTGGGCAGTTTATTAAAGCAAATGTTAAACCAAAGTCATAAAATTCCGCTAAAACTACAAAAATACTAAAACTCATTAATTCACTGCTCTTAAACATATTTCTTCGAACATTTATGCATTTTCTGTTTCAGGAGTCACTGGATTTCATTGTGCATATTATTCTGACAAAGGTTTTGCAGCTCAGTGGAAGCTCTGACTCTGTTCAGTTTCATAGTTTATGTACAGATTGAACATTTTGGTGTAAATATCTCGCACCGTATATTTCATGACCAGCAGGTGCTCAGTCTTTAGCTCGTGCCACGATTTGTTGTTCCTCACTGGGAGATGATGCGCATGTCTCCTTCCGTCCACAATATTTCCATTCCTCCACTGGACCGCTGTACTCACACATGGCTCATTGTCTTCTAGTCTGATCTCAGCAACACTTTCCTTACAGACGTGCACACACACAGAAGCTCTGTCCGTTGCTGCATCATTCTACACTCGCTGCAACACACTGTCCACATTTAGAGCGTTGTCACAATAAGGCACTTTGTCTGAGAGCAAGCCTCTGCCTCGACCCTTGGCCTCCTCTTCATCGCCCTCGGGTCTGGACTGCTCTGTGCACCCAGGTTTGCAGGCAGTCTGTTTGCCTCAAATCAAACTATGTTGTGGCAGCGGCATAAATGCAACAAGATCATAAATAAGACAGAAACAATACAACCCACAGGACTCATCTTCACCTCTTCTGCAGCCTCAGAGTCTTTCATATATGTTGATCTTCACTTGTTAATAAGATTAGGATGGCAGTTTCCTAAAACTGCAGCCCTCTCTAGATTTTTTGTAATGTGTTTAACAAATTGATTTGTTTTTTTTTAAAAGACAGAATATTCAGAAAGCCTAGATTTTGTTTTTAGGATGCTCTTGTAAAACTTTCCTTCTTACTTGTGTGTCTGAAGTGTGTCCCGGTACCCAGAACGGTCTGAGCTCCACCGGCTCTCAGGAGAATCAGTACAATCTGATTAGGGAGCGGTACGATGGCTGTGAGATCATCATGGGAAACCTGGAGATCACTCAGATTGAGAGTAACTGGGACTTCTCCTTCCTCAAGGTGAACACAATCCTCTGTTTGTTCAGGATGATGAGTTGAATTGCAGAAGATGCAGCGGGGAACAGAAGTACTGAACACGTCAGTTGATGAAAGCACATTTCTTCCACACAAACTGTCCACAAATCTTGAAGAGTCCTCTTCTGTGGTCTCTGATCTTCAGCTTTTTATGTAGACTTTAAATTGGACTCAAGACTGGGGCATTCATTTCTATACTACCTTATTTTCTTTCTTTCTTTCTTTTTTTGTTTTTAAACCAAAATGAGTTTCCTTCAGATATCATTATTTAATCGGGCAAATCCCTATGGGAGGAAGCTCGAGTACCCAGAGAAAGTCCATGCAAACACAAAGAGAACATGAAGAAAGATTCCAGGTTCAAACTGGGGATTGAACCTTGGACCTTCTTGCTGTGAGGCAACACTGCTAACCACTAATCTATCGTATTGCCCAATGAAGTTAAAGTTATATGAAGTCTGTGAGTGTTATAAGCTGAAAAACAGCTCCACACCATGATGTTCCCATCTCCTTACTTCACTGTTGGTGTGGTGTATTCAGGGTGATGTGCAGTGCCACTTCGCCTCCGAACATCCAGTGACGTTCATGTTCTCATCAGCTCTGTTTCAGCAGCTTCAGCTAGTGGAGTCTTCCAGTGAGCATGCACAGAGGCCTGCTGAGTGCATTACTTGTTGTTTTCTTTGAAACAGCTAAATCTGCTTCATCCAGGTCTTTCTGAAGTCCTTCACGAGTGGTCCTTAAAATGCATCTGTAACTATGAATGTTTTGCAACAATTAGGTTGCAAAGGTCTTGAGAGAGTGCTTTACTTTTATCCATCATGCATTACCTTAAAAATGAAAAATCCTTTAAAAGGCTATCACTTAGGGCTGAAACCAGCTGATATTAATTTGCACTGATAGGAGGCAGGATTGTTTTAGAAATATTACGTTCAGCTATTTCTTTGGCTCTCCGTGCCTTATTGCTTCTCATTTTCTTCATGTGTTCAATAGTTATTCACTATAACTTGCCAATTTATTACACATAACTTAATTTATGGATGTATTTGTTTTTATTTCTTTGCGTGTGTGGTTTACTTGGATTGTTACCAACATCTGGTGTAAATTTCATGTCAGTAGTCCCATGAGAAAATATCTGTACTGAGAAAATATTGAAGTGTTCAGTACTTATTTTTCCCCGCTGCAAATCAGATCAAATAAAATCCCCTTTAGTTTAATGTCTTCTTCCTCCCTTCAGACAATCAGAGAGGTGACTGGTTACGTCCTCATCGCGATGAACCACTTCCAGGAGATTCCTTTGGGACAACTACAGGTCATCAGAGGAAACAGTCTGTACGAGCGACGCTTTGCACTCTCAGTTTTCTTCAATTACCCCAAGGATGGCTCCAATGGCCTTCGGCAGCTGGGGCTCGCAAATCTGACAGGTTAATGGGACACAATATATTACAGAAAGAGAAAGTGAAGTCTGAAAACAGACACTTTGTGAGATTCCAGGCTTTACCTTTATTCACCGTATTCACACACAAGCCCAACTTAACGGGAAGCTTGAACTGAAACCAATGACTGAACCCCCGGCTGTATGCTCTGAGTTAGCCCCGTCTGAATGATTTAAATTTTTCTTTCATGTCCTTCTTTATCACAGAGATACTGGATGGAGGAGTGCAGATTATTAACAACAAATACCTGAGTTATGGCCCGTGGATCTTCTGGCAGGATATCGTCCGAGACAACAGCGCTCCGATTGACATCCAGCAGAACGGGGAGAGAGGTCTCTGCTCACGGTGATCCCTCACAGTGATCTTCAAACTGCATCTTTTCTTTTCTGAATGGGCTTTCTGTCTCTTTCACCACCTCTCAGGCCCATGCCATCAGTCCTGTGGAGATTATTGCTGGGGGCCAAGTAAGAACCAATGTCAAATCTGTGAGTGTCTGCATGAAGAAATAAGTTGAGACAGAGTGATACACACACACTCAAACATAAACCGGGGACCTATATCCTCCTGTGTGTTTTCCCAGTGACTAAGATGGTGTGCGCTCCACAGTGTAATGGACGCTGCTTTGGGACGAGCCCCAAGGACTGCTGTCACACCGAGTGTGCAGCAGGATGCAGGGGCCCCCTGGATGTGGACTGTTTTGTAAGTGTGTTCTTGTGGTCTGCTTGAGAAAATGAAGAAGAAAAAAACATCTCAATGTAATAAAATGGAAAATGATTAACCAAGTCCTCCTCCAAAAAAAAGAAAGAAAAAGAAAGAAAGCAGTTATTGTTATTTTGACTTTTAAAAAATGCTGTTTATATAAATCATTTACGTAATGAGTCATATTGCAACCATTTGAGCAATTTGGCTTCAATTTATGTGTAATCAACTGTTTGATACTGATTGTTACATGTCCATACCGGAGAGAAAATGTCACTTTTAATTTGTTTAAGCCTCTGTTTTATTTGATAATCTGGCTCCAAGTGACTTTGCTGACCAAGAATTAACCCTGTTTTTAGAGGTCAAAGGGCGTTTTAGTTTTGTGAAGTGACTGAATAAAAAATAATATAGTAAATAAATATCCTGTAAAGCATAAGCTTTCCACCGCGGTGTTCGAGCATAAAATCTTGAAACTTTCTTGGATTATTCCTGCCTACATCTCGAACAAAGTCGTTAAATTTATTAGCGTCAATATTTATTTTGTTACTTTTGATAAATTTGAACCCAGGATGAGATCAACAGCACTAAACTGATGTTAATCAGTTCAGCACATCAGTGCAGGTTAAGCAAACATTATGGAACCAATAAAGAACAGGTTAATTTTATAACGAGTTGTAACAAGCTTATATTTCCATACGTTTTTAAAAACATGATTAAGTACAGTATATGGGAATAACTCAAATGTATTTTCCTGTTTGTGTGTTACTGTGAAGGCATGTCGTCATTTCAATGACTCCGGAGCCTGTGTCCCCCAGTGTCCCCAAACACTCATCTATAACAAGCAGACATTTCAAATGGAGACCAACCCAAATGCCAAGTACCAGTATGGCTCTATTTGTGTTTCTCAGTGTCCCAGTAAGTGCTGTGTGTTCACATATCCAGTCTTTTATTAAGTGTTTTTTATTTTATTTATCATTAAATACTAATGTCTTGTGAAAAACTTGACAAAAAATACCTACAAGTTACCAGTTTTTATTTATTTTTTGTCTTGATTGTGTTTTTGTTGTTTGTTTTATTGTCCACAGCTCATTTCGTGGTGGATGGCAGCTCCTGTGTGAGCGTGTGTCCTCTGGACAAGACGGAGGTGGAACGAGAAGGACAGAGGCAGTGTGAGCTCTGCAGTGGACTCTGCCCAAAAGGTTGACGCAATATGAACTTTTTTTATTTATTTTTTAGATTATGATGGTACTTTATTGTGTTTTGTAAGAATTAAGAACACAAGAACACAAAGTGTATACGTAAAAAAAGTGTTGGTAAAAGCACAAGCTTATTATACCTTCACTTTGTTATACAAAGTACATAAAACATCAAAATCAAAGCAGCAGAATTTTTCCTATATAATTTTCTAAAACATATCAAGGAATTCTGGCCAAATTGATAGACAAACTCATAATTTTTTTTTAAAAACAATCAAACCTTATTATATTTGTTTAACAAATGATTTTATACATTTTTTTTTAATTAAAGAGTGAAAAACACAATTGTAACTCCTCACAATAACTATGCCACACCTGAATCCCTCTGCAGTACACTTGTTTTGAACTCTTATAAGTATATTTATTCTTAGATTACAGAATATCTGTCAGTAAACACATTTAATAATGTGTGTTGATCACCTCTGTAGTGTGTGAAGGAACTGGTGCAGAACACAGACAGACCGTGGACTCCAGCAACATCGACAGCTTCATCAACTGTACCAAGATCCAGGGCAGCCTTCACTTCCTGGTCACAGGGATTCTTGGGTAATGTGTCCAGATAACCTGGATTATTGAGCATGGACTTTGTTGGTTTTGAACCAGTTTGACATGACTGTCGACGAGGAAGAGGGCCGGCACTGGAGGAGGGGGCGTGCCCAAGACACCATCTTAGCACCAACATAACTGGTTTGTCCCACTTTGGAGTAAGCTGTTGGGAGAAGAATCATTTTTGTGTTGTGTGTTTCCTTGACTGATGAAGCCTTCTGGATGGATGGTGAAACGTTTCAGCACAAAAAAAAAACTGTCCAGATGACCTGACTGAAAATTGTTGGATTGTTTACCTGGATTATTGAGCATGGACTTTGTTGGTTGTGTCCAGATAAGTTTGAGAGTGTCAGAATATAATATCAGACAGTTTACGTGTTTATGTGGATTTTTTCTTCCTTACAGAGATGACTTCAAAAAAATCCCACCCCTCGATGCCAAAAAGTTAGAAGTGTTTCGCACCGTCAGGGAAATAACAGGTTTGTATTTACAGTGAAGCTGTTTCACATTTTTGTAATTATACTAATCACATATTATTATTATTATAAAACTCAGCTGTTTTGAGTTTTATCTCATGCTTAAGTTTACAATTTAAAAGTTTTTTTGGAGTCATTTTGAAAGGTAATTGTTAGAATTACGCTTTGTTGGGTTTTCTTTAAAACACGAGAGTAAAAAAATCTACAAATGCATGTTTTTGACAAAAATCTTGGAAGTAGAGATAGAACCACAATATAAAGCTACAAATGTTTGGATAAATTCAAATAAATATGTCATGAGAATGGCTAAATCTTAAGAATCCTGGGGATCATTAGTTAATTTGAAGGTTAATTGAGAGCAGGGGTCTGCAGCTTGCAGCTCTGGAGCCACGTGTGTCTCTCTGGTCTCTCTGAAGTGTTTCTGCTTGCTTCAAGCTTTGACTAAAACTAACAAATAAATATTCATTATAGGGCCAGTTTTAGCCGTTTTCTTGTAATTTTCTTTGCAAATATGTAGTACTAGTAAAGTAAAACATATTTGCTTTAACGTTATGCTTTATTTCTTCAAAGTAATGTATTTAAATAATTTTGCACCAATTTAAAAAAATCACACAGGCCTGCATAGTTCATTGTCTACATTTTCTTATTTTATTTTATTTTTTTTTCTGTACAAGAATCTGGTCTTTTCTTTTGTCTTAAAATGCAAAAATATCCATAAATGTTAAAAATCATTAGATGTTTTTAGTTTTATAATGTCATCCCTACAGACCAGAAACCCGCTTCCAACAAACCTGAAGTGGGCCACCAGTTGGTAATCACAGTTGTAGCAGGTTTTGTGTCTCCGGGCACATTTAATTCAGTGAGGGAAGGGGCAGAAATCCCTCTTTAGATTGTAAAGGTTGCAGAGCTCTGATTTAGAGTTGTGTCAATTATTCAGAGGGATTACCAATCAACTGTGACAGTTTAACTGAAAACACGTATATTATCTATCAGTCAAAAGATAAGATATTGTGCATTCACCGTGCACACAGTGGCATGAAGAATCAGATTTCTGATTTAAGGATGTACTTACAACTCTTTGTCTGGCTTTTAGCGTAGTAAACTGTGTCTGGATTATTGCTGGCTTCTTATCAGTATGAAATATTTTGTAAATTCCAGTTTACACCAGCAAATTGAAAAGCAACACGACACATAGGCCTACTTGTCTGTAACGTGTAACAATGTAGAAAATAGTGCACAGAATGTCAGGTTGAGTTGTTGTCATTTTTGTTTCATTCTCAGACATTCTAAACATCCAGTCATGGCCTAAAGAGCTAAACGACTTGTCTGTTTTCTCAAGCCTCACTACGATTCAAGGAAGGTCTCTTTACAAGTAAGGCCGATTGCATGCAGCAAAGAACAAACTAACCTAGTAAAATATGGCGAGTTATGCAGCTCCTGTTACTTAACCTTTATGCTTCTTGCTTAAATTATTATCAAACCAAAGTGGGCTCCATCTCACACACTTCACCCCCTCCTGTGTGTCTGCTCAGTTCCGTAAGCTCCTCAGAATTAACGTCTCCTAACAAATCCTTTGTATTTTGTTCACACATTCTATCACTCTTCTCTTCCTGTGCTCCACAGCTGTGGAAAGGTATGGAAATGAGTGTGTTAACTCTAAATATTTTTGTGTGTGTGTGTGTGTCTTCATCTTCCAATGCACCAAACAAAAGGCGCTTCTCTCTGATGGTGATGCACATCCCCGCTCTTACTTCACTCGGGCTGCGATCTCTCCGGGAAATCAGCGACGGCAGCGTGTACATCAGTCAGAATGCCAACCTTTGTTACCACCACACTGTAAACTGGACGCAGCTGTTCAGAGGCAGCAGAGCTCAGGTCAACAACCTCAGCAACAACAAGCTGTTTGTGGCGTGCGGTGAGTTTGGTGTGCTTCACATTAAATACAGAAATCTGAAGCAGAAGAAAAAAGTGACTGACTTGTGATTAGTCCATAACATGATGAATTACTTACATCTGCAGTCTTGTGCTGAAATATAAGAACATGATTGCTCTTTTACTGTGGCAGATAATGATGCTCTCCTGTGGTTTTGTTCACAGTTGCAGAGGGACGTGTCTGTGATCTGTTGTGCTCCGAATCAGGTTGTTGGGGCCCTGGACCCGACCAGTGTCTTTCCTGCAGGAACTACAGCCGTGACGGCACGTGTGTGGACAGCTGCAATTTTGTTTCCGGGTCAGTAAGTGGAGATCTTGTGAATGAAATTGTGTTTTCAGTTCATTTCGATTTATGTAGCATCAGTTCACAATGAAGTAATCTCAGGGTGCTGTATAGAAAAACATTCACATACATTGTAAAATGCCATTTAGTAAAAGTTATATCACTGAAGAAGCCAACAGGTTACGACAAATCTTCACTTTGACACAATCTCCCATCCTGAGCAGCATGTTGGTGACAGTGGAAAGGAAAAACTCCCTTTTAATAGCAAGAAACCTCTAGCAGGACGGACGGCCATCTGCCTCGACTGGCTGGGTTTACTTTGATCAGGAGAGAGACAAATAAATACAGAATGGCTTGTTCAGGTGTAGTTTCTATGGGAAGAAATACAAAATAACTGATATAAATAATTGCAAATACAAACATGGAGAGCAGAGTGAGTAACAGCTAATATGTTTATTGTTTATTGCTGCTGCACTATGTGGCTGTATCATGTATGATACAGTATCTATGTATCTACCTTACCAGCACAGTTCAGTCTCAATGTCACTCACTACCTGTGCAATAACTTCACACAATCTGTGTAGTTCATGTTAGTTATGTGCAATATATATAATGTGCATATTACCACCTTGAAATATTATTTATACAAATTCATCCTGCTTGCACCGTTGCAATTCTACCATGTTGTTGATTACTATTTTCTCTTTAGGACCCTGTAAATATTATTATTTTTTCACTTTTTGGTGCTTTATTTTTGCACCCTTATTACATGCTTTAATATTTCTAGTTTGTTCTTTGTTTTTTTTGTTTTTTTGCAAGTCACATCGGCTCACCTCATCCTTAGCATTTCATTGTACTGTTAACCTTGTGTTAACCTTGCAGATGACAAATAAACACAACTTGAACTAAAGACAACAGCAGGGTGATGACATGTGTATTTTCCTTCCATTTAGTTGCCTGAATTTTGTGTCTGCAGAACTCCGAGGGAATTTGCGAGTTCTGATGGAGAGTGTGTTGCTTGTCATCCAGAATGCAAATTTCAGAGGAGGAAAGTCAGCTGCACAGGATCGGTAATTGTTTGCTTTAATAACCTTTTTCTTTGTCTGCATTTGGCACATTTTTTGCTTATGGCCACAAATGTATATATGAATTGCACCTGGATCATGTTTATCCCTCAGTTTTGTTTTTCTTCATGTTAGTAGTTCAGCTTTTAATATCTTGATAAAGAAGAAACTTTGACTTTATTGTTTATCTCCATGTGTGAACTTAGACTTTTAACTTTCTCTAATTAAAAAATTGTCAAAACATGTGTGTGCTCAGGCAGCACGGTGGCGCAACTGGTAGAGCTGCTGCCTCTCAGCGGGCAGGTCCCTGGTTCAAATCCTGGTCCGGGGGCCCCTCTGGGTGGAGTTTGCATGTTTTCTCCGTGCATGCGTGGGTTTTCTCCGGGTATTCCAGTTTCCTCCCACAGACTAAAAACATGCATGTTAGACTGACTGGTAACTCTAAATTGTCCCTATGTGTGAGTGAGAGAGTGAATGGTTGTTTGTCTCTATGTGGCCCTGTGATGGACTTGCGACCTGTCCAGGGTGTACCCCGCCCCTCGCACAGTGATTGCCAGACATGGGCACCGGTGAACCCCGTGACCCAAAATGGAAGAAGCGGGTAAAAGACAATGGATGGATGGATGGATGTGTGTGCTCAGGGCCAGCCCAAGGCATAAGCAAACTAAGTGGCTGCTTAGGGCCCCAGGGCCACTAGGGGGCCCCCTAAGTGGAAGCACAGATTTTAGGAAGTTTGTGAAGTATTGAGGAAGAAGTAACATAAACAGGTCAAATGTGTGGGTAAAGGTTATTTAATATTTTAAGTTTGGCTTTTGCAAGTTGTTGCATATTTGCATATTTTTAAGAACTAATTATTCAACTTTGAATTTCTTTTTAAAACCATTTTACATGGTTTCAAGTAATTGTTCATTTACATTATTTTCTTGATTTTATTTTATTTTATTTTGTTGGTTTTGGCACAATTTTTAAGTTATTTTTATGCATCTAAGTTATTTTGTCTGTTGTTTGTTGCTGATCTTGCACTAGAAATTATTTTGAACATTACAGTTGCAGTTCTTTGAAACCAAAGATATTAAATCAGATGACACTTTTGCTGTAAAATACATTGCATACTGGTGTGTTTTGTCTTCTCTTGTTACTTTTAGTACCACACATATAGGATAATGTAAAGAGGGCTGTCAGAGTTGCAATGAGTTTATGTAAGGTGGGTGAATGATCTGATCATCTGACTGTTGATTACAGTAAAGCACATTATTAGCAGAAATAGAGGGCCCCAAACAAATTTTGCTTAGCGTCCCATGAAGGCTTGGGCGGGCACTGTGTGTGTTTGAAAGAAAACAGAACAAAAAGAAGTATGAAATGTTTTAAAATTACTTATTGCATTCAGCTTTGCACTTGTAATTACCTATTCTTCTTGAATGACTTTGAATGTGATGACGTTCTGTCATTGCTTTTCAAACCACCCAATTACAGTCCACCTTATTGTGCTTATTTCTGTCCTACTTTTTCCCTTGAGGGGGCAGATGAGTGTATAGCCTGTGCCAATCTTCAAGATGGCCCTTACTGCATGTCCTCTTGTCCCAGTGGAGTAAATGATGGACAGAAAGGGCTGATTTTCAAATATCCCAACAAGGAGGGTCACTGTGAACCATGTCACCACAACTGCACCCAGGGGTGAGCCGCAGCTTAAAGCATAAGTGTGCGCCTGAGTATTTTTATACGCTTTCATTTATCCAAGTGTCACACCTGTCAAATGTTTGAGCTTCACTTCTTTGTTTCAGATGCTTCGGCCCAGGATTAAATGACTGTTTGGAGGCAGCCAGGCTGGCAGTTAGTAGGTGATTGTTTCCCCCTGCTGGTTTAAAGAAAATGCAACTGTGCAATGACAGTTTCTACAAAAAGACAAGTTAGCTTGAACTTTTGGGCAATTTAAAGGGACATCGCTGCTCATTTTCAAGTTCACAATGTTATTTTGGGGTTTCTTGTTGTTTGAAGCACCTATTTCCATTGTGTGTTTGTAGCTTTACTTCTCAGCAGTTCATTTTCCTCTCAGTGTTCTGACAAAAGATGTTGAATGTGGATGAAATTTCTTGTTTAGACTTTTAATCAACAGATTTGTAACTGTGAGTTGTGTCTCAGAATGAACAGAAGCAGCTTTCGATGTTAATTTTTTATTTATTTTTTGGTTGTGGGAATGCACAGCTAGTTGCTGTTTGAACCATTTAATTCCAACCAGAGGTATGCTTCCCTCTGCAGCGGGCAGATCACCTGTATTGCTTTAGGGGTCCCGGCCGCCCTGATTTTCTGCCTGGCATTGTTTTTCCTGGGAGTGTTGTACCACAGAGGCCTCGCCATACGCCGCAAGAGAGCCATGAGGAGATATTTGGAAAGTGGAGAGGTGAGGCGCCAGAGACCAAATCTTTATGAGTCACAATAATCCTGTTCACCAAGACGACAGGTAAGGACAACTGTTGTGTCTCTGACAGAGCTTTGAGCCTCTGGGTCCTGGAGAAAAAGGCACCAAAGTTCATGCTCGTATTCTGAAGCCTTCAGACCTGAAAAAGATCAAACTCCTTGGCTTTGGTGTTTTTGGTACAGTGCACAAGGTAGAGATTATTTTTCTTTTGATGATTCTCTTTTGATTTGTAACCTATCAAGTTTTTCTTAAATCATTTTGTTGTTGTTGTTTAAGGGCTTTTGGACTCCAGAGGGTGAGACAGTGAAAATCCCTGTGGCCATTAAGACCATCCAGGACAGCTCAGGCCGACAGACTTTCACTGAGATCACTGATGTGAGTCTATGGAACAAATATACACAGACAGAGAGTTCAAACATAATAATATTACAAACAATGTTTCTTTTTCTACAGCATATGTTGGCCTTGGGCAGCATGGACCATCCGTACATTGTTAGGTTGCTGGGAATCTGTCCCGGTGCCAGTCTGCAGCTGGTGACTCAGCTCAGTTCTTATGGTTCCTTACTAGAGCATATCATACAGCACAAGAACAACCTCGACCCCCAGCGCCTCCTTAATTGGTGTGTGCAGATTGCTAAGGTGTGTGCAGTAGGATTTATTTTTTTCAAGAAAATATGTTTTATTCCTAAAGTTGTTGAAGCCTATTTAAGTTATGCACTTTTGTGTTTAAGGGTATGTTCTATCTGGAGGAACACTGCATAGTCCACAGGAATCTGGCTGCCCGTAACGTTTTGCTGAAGAACAACTATCAGGTCCAGATCTCAGACTATGGGGTGGCTGATCTCCTTTACCCAGATGACAAGAAATATGTTTACACAGACACAAAGGTTGCTATGACTGGAGGACAAGATTTCAGTAATTGAAGCAGATCCATCCAGACTACCTGACTGTATGTTTTGTTCTCATTCAGACACCTATAAAATGGATGGCACTAGAAAGCATCTTGTTCAGAAGATATAGCCATCAAAGTGATGTTTGGAGTTATGGTAAGAGGCATAGAAAGGGTTTTCTCCTAACCGTGTATTTTTTTTTAATACAGCCTTTTAATGTGGCGCCTTACTTCTTGAACAGGGGTGACAGTGTGGGAGATGATGTCATTCGGGGCAGAGCCGTATGTGTCTGTGCAGCCTCAGGATGTGCCGAGTGTCCTGGAGAAGGGTGAACGTCTATCACAGCCCCACATCTGTACCATTGATGTTTACATGGTCATGGTTAAATGTACGTCAAAACATTTGGCCTGTTCTAACACAAGCAAAATTCAGACTCTTTCTTCACAAATAAAGACTGCATAAACATAATCATCATCATACATTTATTAAAGGGGAATTTCATGACATGCAAGGCCACTGCACTATATAAAGCACAATATAAAATCACAATAAACATCAAGTGCAAACAGTAAAAAGATACAATCACTGAATAAATGATGAAATGAAAAACACAGCTAGTGTCACAAGGATGTTATAATGAGTAAGCCTGTTTAAAGAAGTGAGATTTGAAAATGGAGAGCGTGGGAGAGTTTTTGATGTGCAGAGGTAAAAAGTTGCAGTGGTGGGGTGGTCAGATGGGCAGGTGTTTGGGTGAGTTGGGTGGAGAAAGATGGAAGTGTGGGATAAGGGAATGAAATAAGAATGTGTTGTCTGAAAATGTGTGTGTGTATGTGTGTATGTTGATGTGGAGGAGTTTAGTGAGATACAAAAAGGCGAGGTTGTTGTGGGCTTTAAAGGCGAGAAGCAGAATTTTGTACAAAATGCGATATTTAGTGTGGAGCTTGGGAAGTTGCTGCAGGACCTGAGTTATTCGACTGGTGAAAAGGTCTCTGGTGCTGATGTGTGCAGCAGAGTTTTGGACTTGGAATTCATGGGTGGATTATGCAGGTAAACCAAAGAGAAGGAGATTACAGTAATCCAGGCAGGCTGTGTGATCAAAGAGTGAACTAGCATGGTAGTATGGTTGGGTGAGAGGGATGGACTGAACCAAGGCAATGTTACAGAGGTGAAAGTAGGTTGAAAGAGTGTTACTGATGTGGGATTGAAATGCAAATGTGTTGTCTAGGCTGATAACCAATCGGGTGGAGGGGGAAACTGAGATGTTGATGAAAATGGAGAAATTATTGTTTTATGCATGTGTGGCTTTGGTGCAGATCAGAATAAGCTCTGTTTTTTCTCTGCTCTGTTTGAAGAAATTGCTCGAGAACAAAGATCCAATCCATGTACGCAATCAAAGAGTGATGTCGATGGGAGGGCAGAGGTGGGTGTGGTGAACAGATAAATCTGGGTGTCATTTGTGTAATGGTAGAATTGGAAATTATGTTCTTGGAAGATGTTGCCAAAAGGAAGGAGGTAGGGGTTAAAAAAAGAAAGGGCCAAGGACAAAACCTTGTGGAACCCCAGAACAGAGAGGGGATGGACTTATGATACAACGTGATACAATATGACACAATAATATGTAACCATATGACATGATAAAATCTAATATTTTAGGATATAATACAGTGCAATATGATAAAACAAAGTGTAATGTGTAATGCACTCCTGGAGAAATTTGTTTTGGACTCAGTGCTATCCCATTAACTGCTTTCACACAAAAAAATCTATAGATAGTTTGTAAATACTTCTTTTTTATACATAGTGTTTCTTGCCCTGTTCTATTCAGGCTGGATGATTGATGAAAACATAAGGCCAACTTTCAAAGAGCTGGCCAGTGACTTTACTCGGATGGCAAGAGACCCACTGAGATACCTTGTTATCAAGGTGAGAACACAGATCTTACAGCTTTGTGGTTTTTTGTGTGTTTGGATTTGTATCTTATCCCCAATTTAACAACCCTGCTTGTCACTGTTAATCCATAGCAGGAAGGAGACGATGTTGTACCTGGTGAAATTCATCGTAGAGAATCTGAACGAGGACTTCTGGATCCAGATTTGGAGGACCCAGATGAGGTGGGGCTGGATGATGGTTTGGCTACACCTCCTCTTCAGCACTCTCCATCGTGGAGTCTGTCACATTCACGCATTAATTCCTACAGGGTAATACAGAAGTGCCAGATAGATTTACAGACTGTTCTTCAGAGTGTTACATGTTATTCTCTCCACGATTTGTAGAGTGGTACCTCTCTGACTGGGCCGGCTGGATACCTGACAATGACTCCAAGTCCTGTAGATAGCATCCGCCAGGTGCAGTAAGCATGTTCTGCAAAAACACTTACTCCCCAAAAATATAATTGCAAATTTAACTATAGCTCTGCTATAGCTCTGAACTTCATGCCTATTGTTTGACATGTTTAAATGTTATTCTAATAGCTGCTGGAATAGGTATTCCCTATTTTTTAAATGTAATATTATTTTTTTGCCTTAGCTGTGGTTTCGCAGGTCTCGTCTGAGCTCAGTCCGGATGCTGCCTGAGAGATCAGAGTTCAGAGGGAGTGGCGAGGAAGCAGAAATACACGAGGAAGGCTTACGGATTGGAAGCCTTCACCGGACCAGGCTTGGCTCAGTGAAAAGTCATTCCCATGTGACCATCAGCCGAGACAGGAAGCTCTCCACAGCCTCAAGTCCATCCTCCTACAAGGTGTGGACATCAGAGGAAGAAGAGGAGTTGGATCACTATGGCTACATTCTGCCTGGGTCACCTGGGTCACCAGAAAGAGGTAAAATGCTCTCAAAATACAGCAGCATTATAGCATTTTATTACTTATGCACAATGTTTTATTGCTATGCTATATAAAGTAACAGATCAGTGTTTTCTCATTATGCCTCACAGCCTCCAGAATAGCTCATTCAGGCAAAAGGAGTTCAAGTCTGAAGAATAGTCTTGGTGTTGTGCTGTCGAACTCCTCTCAGGAATATGAAACTATGAGCACAGAGTCTAGTGTTCCTCCTTGCTCCACCAGCAGCAACACACTGCAGGGAGACGACACATCAACGGCATTTTGTCATAAAGTCAAAGTTCCACCTTCTTCAACCCTCATGGATTTGTCACACACAGAAACACCCCAAGCAGAGAACCCAAGCTCTGCTGTCAGGAGGAATCACAAGGCTTGTGAAGGAGCTGTAGCAGAGCAAAGAGACTTAGTAGAGAGGCACCAGCTCACTGGTGCCTTTACCAGTGAAATCAAAGGTATGGATGACCCAGCAGAGGTAGGCCAAGGGATTGGCAGGTATGAATACATGGATATCCGGCACTCTGACTCTTCAGACGGAGGCGACCCAGAATTGCAAAGAAGTGGGAGTTGTTCATCTGCAATATCTGCAGCAGAGACACGGTACACAGACAAAATAGTGGCAGTGTCAACAAAAGAGCAAAAAGGACAAGAGACTGAAAATCACCACAACACAGATAAACCAACCAGTCTTCAGGGGATTCTGAGCAGTATGCCTGAACCAGATGTGCAGACATCTGGAGCAGGAAAGGTGGAGGAGTACGAGGAGATGACTAGATTAGGAGAAGGGCTTGATGGGTGGGGGAATGCAGAATATGAGAACCTTCCAGTGAAGGAGTGGGTTCCTCCTGAGGAGGTGGGCAGTGTCAGATGTGCAGGGATCGAGAAGTACATCAAGGTGTGTGCTGGTATAGGGGAGCCTGGCAGCAGCACATCATTTGACAACCCAGACTACTGGCACAGCAGGATGTTCCTCAAGCCAGATGCTGTACGCACCTAATAAGTCTGACAGGGACAGAGAAAAAAAGAAGAAGAAAACATTCAAGTTTCTGGCAAATTTTGAAGTTTTGTGACTACTTTTACCTATTGATTCCGCAAAAATAAAAGCCTATAGAAAAAATAGTCAAATACATATTTTCCAAATTATTATTTCACTGACTTTTACAGTAAGTGATAGTTTACAAAACCAAAAATGATCCAGTACAAACCCATATATAAAGGTGATTGTGTGCATATCATATAAATTGTTAAGGGCATTTAAAGTTTGCTTGGCTTTATTTTAAGGCCTAACTATTATTTCTGTGTATTTTTTTTTACATTGTAACGAGATGATCCTTTTAAAGACTGTGTACTTTTTATTTTCATATTAATTGTTGTATAATTATCGGATTTTACACAACTGTATTACTCATATCAGTAGAGTGTTTTTTGTATTGCCTTTACGTTTGTTAAAAATAAATATAATAATTTTATAATAAAAAGACTGAGTTTTGTTCAGTAATAAACACGCATAACCAACTTGTAGGCTGGCTCGTTTAGCGGTGGTAAATGAGCAGTAAAGGATTTCTGAATAGGCGTTTTCTCATTTTTGTCTAAGCTCAAGCTAATGATATGCATGTAATCAGATCAGAATGCCAGTTATAGAGTTCATTATAAATAGAATTTATTATGATTACCATGTTATTAGTCTTGCTCTATCGTTTTTGTTACATTCACATATCTGTTTTTCTTTCTATTCCAAGGCGAGGTGCTTGTTGTGTTCCAAGGAACTGACTTGTTAAGCAACCATGATAAATAACAATCCTTCATTCAACTCATACACAACACAAAATTCAATTCAGTTCATTTTATAACACCAAGTCACAACAGAAGTTATCTCGGGGCACAGAACAAATACAGTGTCCAGACCATACAATATAACTGGTCTCACCACTGTCTTGTAAACTTTTCCTTTGACCTTTGCGGACATCATTTTGTCTCAAATTACTCCTGAAACTTTTCTCCATCCACTCCATCCTGCCTGGACTCTCTTCTTCACCTCTTTACCACATTCCCCATTTTCCTGGACAGTGGACCCCAAGTACTTCAGTCCTGCACCTTTGAAGCCAAATAGGCTAATAAAAAGCGAAGAAGGCCAAAGCTGAGGTTCAGAAAATTCTTGTAGAGAGTTTGACAGCAGACGTGGGGATGATTTCAAAGAGAGAAACTGAGTCCAAGCTCAGTAGAATAATTGCTTGTTCTTCACAAAAATTAAAAAAAGTCACCACTACCCCAGTATTCATAAGTACATTCACTGTTCCACCACTGCAACATTTTTAACATCTATTGACTGAAATTATACTGACATGTGTTTATTTAAATAAACAAGTAAATTAAAAAAAAAAAAACTTTTATTACCATTAACCATGCATCAATTTTTTTAAATCAATAAACAACACAAAAATAAAATTTAGGTGCTTTGATTTCTTTTCAAGAAGAGACCATCACAAGTAGCTGAAATTACAAAAGTTTCGATCAGCAGCGGGGGGTTGTGTGCGCACATGAAGCCTAACGAAATGAACCTCTTTTTGGACCAACTGGGATGAAAGCATCATGGCTTATCTGGTCACCATAGCAACAGGGAGTCGAGGGGGCGGGACGAGGCGCCGCGTGCAGCGGCTTGGTGTGGTGAGCTTCTGCTGACACATGCGCTGCAGACGAAAAAGTTGGTTGGAATTCGCGCCGCAGTAAATACACTGCCAAAGTGCCAATATGTCTGGAGATGACGAGACACAAGAGCAGACCATCGCTGAAGACTTGGTGGTTACCAAGTACAAGATGGGAGCAGAGATTGCTAATCGTAAGCGATAAATAAAAGCTTTAAATCGCCTGTTGTGGATCGGTCAAGCTAGCTAGCAGCTGTGCCATGTGCCGCAGCAGCGGGACTGGATTACTAAGGGAAATGAGCACTGTGTGTGTGTAACCAAGAATTCTGTGCATATTGCAAACAAAAAGGCAGATAATCCCACTGCGTTGTGGATTTGATTTAACGGCAAGTAGCTGTCATTGTCTGAATGAGTTCTGGAAATAGCTTTGTGACTGAGCTAACTCATTAGCAACGGTTAGCTAACCGGAACTGCTGGAAAATAGTAGTAGTTTTCACAATAAAAGCATAGTCTGTATTTCAATTAAAACGTGTAGGCAATTTACATGTATATTACGTTTTTAATATTTGTCCAGTAATAGTTAAATTATGCTAAAATACAGTAACCATCTTGAGGAGAGGATATATGTTTTTACGAGCATGCAAATTAATTTATTATCATGTTAAAATGCAGATTTTTTTCTTATATATTTGTTGTATGCTAATGTAAGACCACACTTACCTCACACCCACTTTTGTTACTTTATTCACCTACTTAATATTATATAAACATCTGAGATGATTTCACATCATTTCAACTAAACAATAAATTATAACGTCAAAAAACGTTCAATACAAAAACAACTGGACTTTATTTGTAACAGCTCCTCGGATGAGGAACGAAACGTCTTCTGTTACAAAATAAAGTCCAGTTGTTTTTGTCTTGTACGTTTTTTGAATTCATCATGTCCTGGATGACCGAGAATCTTCACCAGAATAAATTATAAGTTAACGTTAATGCCGAATATCCGACATCCCATTTGACACAAAAATGCAATGTGTCCTTGTGATTTTTGTACTTCAGATCTGCTATTTTGAGTTTATCCATTTTATTTATTGTTATCCAGGCACCAGTTAAATTCAGTCAGGAGTTGAATTTAAATTAAGTATATAGAAACATCAATAAGAATGTCATTGTAGGGCCCATTTTTTTCTTAAGATGTTTCTTAACAGTTAATAACACCACATAGAAGTGAACAGATGTGCGTTCAGTACGTTGCACTCTATGCTACCAATGTGCCAATTTCATTCACATCCTGTGTATTTGTCATCCTGCAGAGGCTCTGAAGACAATAGCTGCAGCAGCCACTGCTGGGGCCTCCGTGCTCAGCCTGTGTGAGAAGGGAGATGCGTTGATTGTGGCAGAAACTGGTAAAGTTTTCAAAAAGGAAAAGGACATGAAGAAAGGTAAGTGCTTTGCTGCTTTTTAGAAGTTCTTATTGATGTTTTTTACTTGGTACTTCCTCATTGACCCTCAATTTTTTCCCCCTCAGGCATTGCTTTTCCTACCTGCGTGTCAGTTAACAACTGCGTTTGCCATTTCTCCCCTCTGAGAAGTGACTCTGAAGTCATACTGAAAGATGGAGATCTTGTGAAGATGTGAGTTCTCTTGTGAGATTCACCATTGTGTCGTTTAAATAAGCAGTCCTTCTTCTCGTAACGTTTTGTTGTTCTCTGTGAGCAGTGATCTGGGTGTGCATGTCGATGGCTTCATCTCAAACGTAGCTCACAGCTTTGTTGTTGGAGCAAACAAGGTGCGATCTTTTGCACTCTCTGAGAATATTTACACAGTTATTAACTTGGGATGTTTTGTCAGTGAATAACATATTCCCTGTGTCACCCTCAGGACAACCCTGTGACAGGGCGGAAAGCTGATGTCATCAAAGCAGCTTACCTCTGTTCAGAAGCTGCTCTTCGGCTTGTCAAGCCAGGGAACCAGGTAAAGCCACCACCAGCCCTCATTTGACCAATAAGAATCGTGTTCACAGCTCATTTGATACAATCGTGCTTGAAAGTTTGTGAACCCTTTAGAATGTTCTATTTTCTGCATCAATATGAGCTAAAACATCATTAGATTTTCACACTAGTCCTAAAAGTAAATAAAGAGAACCCAGTTAAACAAATGAGACAAAAATACTATACTTGGTCATTTATTTATTGAGGAAAATGATCCACTATTACATATTTGTGAGTGGCAAAAGTATGTGAACCTCTAAGATGAGCAGTTAATTTGAAGGTGAAATTGGAGTCCGGTGTTTTCAATCAATGGGATGATGATCACGTGTGAGTGGACACCCTGTTTGATTTAAAGAACAGGGATCTATCAAAGTCTGCTCCTCACAACATGTTTGTGGAAGTGGATCATGGCAGGAACAAAGGAGATTAAGGAGATGAGGCTGGAAAAGGTTACCAAACCATCTGTAAAGAGTTTGGACTCCACCAGTCCACATTCAGACAGATTGTGTACAAATGGAAGAAATTCAAGACCATTGTTCCCCTCCCCAGGAGTGGTCGACCAACAAAGATCACTCCAAGAGCAAGGTTTGTAATAGTCAGCGAGGTCACAAAGGAGCCCAGGGTAACTTCTAACAGCTGAAGGCCTCTCTCACATTGTTAATGTTCATGAGTCCACCATCAGGAGAACACTGAACAACAATGGTGTGCATGGCAGGGTTGCAAGAAGGAAGCCACTGCTCTCCAAAATGAACATTGCTGCTCATCTGCAGTTTGTTAAAGATCACGTGAACAAGCCAGAAGACTGTTGGAAGAATGTTTTGAGGACGGATGAGACCAAAATAGAACTTTTTGGTTTAAATGAATTGCATACTTTTACCACTCACACATATGTAATATTGGATATCAAAAAAGTCCATGCTCAATAATCCAGGTATACAATCCAACAATTTTCAGTCAGGTCATCTGGACAGTTTCTTTTTTTTTGTTGAAACGTTTCATCTTCCATCCGAAAGGCTTCATCAGTCAAGGAAACACACAACACAAAACTGATTCTTCCCCCAAACAGCTTACTCCAAAGTGGAACAAGCCAGTTATGTTGGTGCTAAGATGGTGTCTTTGTCACGTCCCCCTCCTCTGTTGCTGGCCCTCTTCCTCGTCGACAGTCATGTCAAACTGGTTCAAAACCAAAAAAAGTCCATGCTCAATAATCCAGGTATACAATCCAACAATTTTCAGTCAGGTCAACTGGACAGTGTGTAAACTGTCCTGTTGACCTGACTGAAAATTATTGGGTGGTAATGGATAATTTTCCTCAATAAATAAATAACCAAGTATAATATTTGTGTGAATATTTTAACTTTTATCTACATTTAGGACTTGTGTGAAAATCTGATGATATTTTAGTTCATATTTATGCAGAAATATAGACAATTCTAAAGGGTTCACAAACTTTCAAGCACCACTGTATGTCATGCTGTTTTCCAACAGAACACACAAGTCACAGAAGCGTGGAACAAGATCGCCAAGTCTTTTAAGTGTTCCTCCATTGAAGGTTGGTGTTTTAAAAACATCAGGGTTGTGAATTTTCTGGTTTTAACCAGATCTGGGCCAGTCAAGAATTAATGTGATGATGAAATTAATCAAGAATAACATACTTTTATTTTATATTTTTAACAACCCAAATTGGTATTTTTCTTTATTTATATTTTGTTCTGTGACAGGTAGAACAGTTAGTTTCTATTCAAATTTCAAACTTGCATTTAACCATGTGTTTAAAGTAGGACTACATAAAATCATGTGCTCAATTTGTGATTTTATGATCAAAATATTTAAACCTGCAGTTTGCGTGGAGAGCTACATCTAGCTGCCATTAAGAATCAAAAAAAGAAAGTTTAAACAGAAGAGTCATCCCTGGTATAAAAACACCACTGGAAAAGTTTAGCATACTTTGCTTTAATGTTATGCTAATTTTCGTGGAGCATCAATACATTATTACTTTTATTTCGATGTTGATGTAGTGAAGGTGTTGTGGCACAGTAATACAGAACTCACCAAGGGGTGATAAAACGAAAAGTTTACGAGTTTTTGAAACATGAACACCTGAACAAAGTGGGAGTAAGTGTTGAATTTATAACCAAACAGAAAGTATGAGTTATTTAGGGAAATAGCATTTTCCACAAAAATGCACTGGCTTTGGACAAATTTGCTGAAGAAGCTAAAAGTTAGTTTCTAAAGCTAAAAGAATCAGAACACTAGCTAAAAAGAAAAAAAGAGTAATAGCTGAAAGCTAAAGGGAGCAAACTACTAGCTAAAATATAAAAGTAGCAAACTGATAGCTTAAAGCTAAAAGGATCAAACTACTAGCTACTAGCTTGTGTCATATATTTTTCAATATAAAAAACAAGCAAAAACCTCACTTTCCGGTGCCCAGAAAGTTTAGAAACAGTTTTAATTTTTTGTTTAAATCCAAGTGTTCCTCAGGAAGCCCCAACAGTGCCATCTTTTCTTTTTATTCCTTCAATCACATCCCTGAAACGTTTGGCAAAACCTTCGTTTCATGTGGTTTGGACAAACTTGACTGATTTGATTCACCGTCTGCAGGCATGCTGTCCCATCAGCTTAAACAGCATGTGATCGATGGGGAGAAAACCATCATTCAAAACCCCACGGACCAGCAGAGGTGAGTTGTTTCAGCAGACGGCCTCAGATCAGATTGTCTCAGATGTGTTCTCTGTGACCAGTGGGTGACCTCGGCACTTTGTGGTTTCTAGAAAAGACCACGAGAAGGCCGAGTTTGAAGTGCATGAGGTGTATGCAGTGGATGTGCTCGTCAGCACTGGAGAGGGGAAGGTCAGAAGGGATTTGGGATGATTAGATTGTCTGCTCAGTTCTGAAGAATCAAAATTGATGATTATTATTTTATTGTTTTTATTTTTTTATGATTCAGGCAAAGGATTCCGGTCAAAGGATCACAGTTTACAAACGAGACCCCAACAGGCAATACGGCTTGAAGATGAAGACATCCCGTACGTTCTTCAGCGAGGTGGAGAGACGTTTCGACACAATGCCTTTCACTCTGAGGTGACGTTTCCTCACTTCAAGTTACATTTTCCCCTTTATTTTATTTTTTTATTTTAATCGTTGCTAAGTCATCTCAGGTTGCTCCACCTCACCCTCTCTTCTGCTTTGTGTCTTCAGAGCATTCGAGGATGAAGGAAAGGCCAGACTTGGTGTGGTGGAGTGCGCCAAACATGAGCTGCTGCAACCGTTCACTGTGCTGCATGAGAAGGAGAGTAGGTAGAACGATCCTGTTTAAAATCAAATCCTTGTTTATCGTTAGGTATCTTTAAGAATTGGGACAAAATTGTTGCAGTTGTTACACCAGACTCACTTGCTTTCAACAAGTGTACTCAAACAAATCCAGTCAGATACCCAACCAAAACCATGTGGTGGGAGATGTCATTGATCAGTCTTTTATAGCAACTTCTCATCCTTCTCTATCTCTCTCATCAAGTGGCTCACAATAGATTCAACAATCCACATGAGACTGATTGCTATTATGAATGACAATCTACTTGTGACAACAGTATATTACCCACTTGATGTTAGGAAATGTTGGTTTTAATTTATAAAATATACAACTGAACATTACAAATGCAGTCACAAAGGCTGAGACCCCTTATACTGTTGGAGAAAAATGTTCTCGCTAATGTTGTTTACTCACAAAGAACCACACGCAACTGCTGAAGAAGATTTTTAATCGGGATTTTACTTGCAAGGTCAGATTTTCAGGACCGGTTACATACACATACATACAATGTACACACATGAAGACCAGTCACGAGAATCTGCCTCTTCCCCCTCAGCTTGCTTTTATATCTTATCAGTTCAGCTGAGTTCACAGAGCGCAGGAGGTGTCCTTGGCTGCAGCTGCATTCTGCACCCAGCTCCTCACTCAGCTCTCTCTACTAACCCAAACATATGATTCATGGGCAGAGATAAGAAAACATGCTTAACTTTTGACCTTCTCTGACAGATACCACTGTTCTTTAAGTTTCCCTGAGGCTCCTAATATGGAGCCATGAGGGATAGGGGTTAAAATATTCCACTATAACATTGGACGCCTCTTCAATAAGTCCATGCTCCATCAGTTGCTGCAGATAAATTTTATATCAACAGATGCAGCCTGTTTTTGCCAGAGTTATATTATGCATCATTAACTAATTAAGAATGGACATTTTAAGCAGAAACACGTTTTCAATTAGTCTTTAATTCAGTTTTTTTTTTATATGTATTTGGCACCCAATGTCTACATTCTGTCCAGTTCCCAATGTTCTGTCCACATACCACTTAAGGGTCATTTATACTTCATTAGAAGTGGAGAAATAGTTTATCTTTTATGTTTTTTTGTGACAAAAATTACGTTTTTGATCTTTCCTCACCTTTGAGAACTGGTTCTGTGCAAAACGTTCTGACAAAACTATTGTCTTGCAGGGTATGCGCCAAGCATTTTGTGATTGATCATAAATTTTGGGGCATGTTTATGTGGAAAAGTGACTGCACTTCCCTTTCACTTCCTTTAACTGCTCTGCTGAGGACGATCTGGCCGAGGCTGTTAGAAAATACAGACATCTTTACAACTGTTCCAGCAAAACTTTTATAAAGATGCTCAAAGAGCTTGTGGAAGGAGATGGTGTTGAGACAGAAGCAGCTGTCTGTGGCTCTGCTGTCTGAGAGGATGAGTGCCTCGGCCGGACAGCAAAATAAAAAAGTTCCTGCACCGCCGGTCAGAAGCTCTCTTCATGACACATTTACAAAATGGCTCTTCTTCTCGGTTAACAACAGAAATACCAGCTCTTCCTGCTTCAGCTTTTCCATTAACAACTGAAACTAAATATCCACTCAGCCAATTGTGGAGATGCAGGAATTCTTGCGGCTAATCTGAGTTCCATGACTATATTTTCCATTTTGAAACCCTTTCAAAATAAACTATGGTGGAAAGAACAGACACTGACTGAGTTGTTTGTATGTTATCTGTAAGAGTCCAGACCAGTATATTCTGTCATTTACGTGGTGTGGAAAATTAAGGACAACCTGCCAAAGCATTGAGGTTCTAAACTTGACAGCATTCATACAGTTCGTACTCTTTCAAAGCAAAAGTCTTTAAGTTGTCGTCTAAAACGCAGAATAAAAGAAAATCGTTGGTAAATCCTTCATAGTCTTAAAGTGTAAGGACCCCCGCCTCTTCAGTTTTTAACACTTGTTTTTAATTCAGGCGAGTTTGTGGCCCAGTTCAAGTTCACCGTGCTGCTCATGGCTAACGGATCACTGCGGATCACCAGCTGCCTCTTTGAGCCCGAACTTTACAAGTCTGAGCACGAAGTGGAGGATCCTGAGCTAAAAGTAAGACGCGCCTGATGGACGAGACACTCAGCTGAAAGATTTTTAACAGTTTTGGGGATATGTTGTGTCTTACCTTGTAATTTTATACTCTTACTTTGTGTCCATAAAGGCTTTGCTTCAGAGCTCGGCCAGCCGGAAGACTCAGAAGAAGAAGAAAAAGAAGGTGACTTTCAGATTAATTTGTTTTGAGAACGCAGGAGCATGTTTTACAACCGTTTGCTAAATCCTTTTTTTTTATTTCCTCTAGGCTTCAAAGACTGTTGAGAATGCAACGGGACAGGCGATGGAGACTGAAGCTGCAGAATAAAATCTCAATAAATAGTGACAGAAATTGGATGACCCAAAGAGCAGATGGCATGATTACCTTCTGTCCCGGCCTTCTAAGACGCTCGAGGGCACGGCCGCTGTGAACACCTCTGAATTTAACAGATTTCAGTCTGGGACCTGAAACACACATGGCATGGACCTCTTGCTCTGACAACAAACATATATTTAGTAAATTTAAATTTCATTGAGGTAACGTTTTGCTGCAGTTCTATCATGGAAGAGATGTTTTGGGCCAGTCCACATAAGATCACGTTCCACTTGGTTTGATTTGTTCTTTTCAGTTAGTGTCATGAAAGACATGGGAAATGAAATGAGTTTGATAAAGCAGCGGATGAAGAATGCACAGTGCTGTGTCATCATGTCTTTTAGAGAAATGTCTCTGTCAGACACCTGAATCCACACCTTTGAAAGGAGTGTTAACTTTTTGTGGACATGTCTGTCACTGTGACATTATTACCTGCTAGTACCAGTACTCTTGAATAAACTTTAAACGCAGCATTTATATTTACAGCCCGAGCAGTCTGTGCTTTAGTTGATTCTTCCAGGAGTCCACAGTAGGTTATGTGGATATCAATTTCTAAAACTGACATAAAGACATTTCATTTTTTCCCCTCTGTGGTGGACGGTCTGTACTCCTGCCAAGGTTTCAGCATTCAGTCCTCTGGTGCCACAGAGTCAATCTGTTGTACACATAAGATCATAACGGTTAGATCGATAGATGGATGCTTTTGTTAAACAAGTCCCAGTTTCAGAGACTATTTTTGGGAACAATAAATAACATGCTAGTATCACTTGTCTACTTGTGTTTGTTTTTAATTAACAGGATAATTTGTGATTTTACTCATTTAAAAATGGTCAAAAGTGCTGTATTGTAATTGTATGCAACTGTTTGATCAGCCTTTATTAGAAATTGTGATTAATGTACCTCTCTCAAGAGCTAAAAACGAAACAAAAATATATATACCCACGCTCTTTGTTTTTGAAGTAGCACTAGTGTTCACAATAGCTTGTCACAACTTGTACGATCTACAATAGACAATACTGTTAAATTGCCCAAATTTTTTAAATAAAATTAAAATCATATTTTAAGAAAGTGTAACTATTTAAAGTTGCGCAAGTGGTTAAAACGGCAAACCTCGATATTTAAAGTAACTTAAAAACAATGAAATATTCACGTTTCGCTGTGTTTTGAGTCTCGGAAAACTCAATTTCCCAGGTTTCAGTAGTCGTCCATTACATTTGACGTACTTACTGCATACATGCAACGGGTTATGACGTCATTGGTAGAGCGTCGAGTGGATTGTTCGCTTTCGGTGAGTACATTAGCTGCTGTCTGAATCCAAGTTAATCTGCGTAATCTTATAGCCAAATAAAATAATCATTGATATTTTTATTCTATTTTCAGCCTCCCTCTTTGAAATGAGAGCTAAGGTTGGTATTTTAATTTTCTGTGGCGAGACAAATGGACCTTTTACTGATGCTAACATTTGCTAGCTAGCTAACCAGCAAGTGTGATTTTTTTGTTGTTGTTGTTCGTTTGCAGCCGTTGATTATTACCTTAAGTGTCAACGAATCTTTTGCAAATTTTTTTTGTTTGTTTCGAGTTAGTTTTTAATCACATTTCTGTTGTTTACAGTGGCGAAAGAAGCGCATGCGCAGGTAAGATTTTTCTCGTTTAGAGTGAGTTCTGTAAGGTGGACGTTTTTTTACTGACTGCTTATCATGTTGCTGTGTGCAGGCTGAAGCGCAAAAGAAGAAAGATGAGGCAGAGGTCCAAGTGAAGTGTCCTCCTGGTCCAGCTGTTCCGTCTGTGTTGGAAGCTGGACATCCTTGAAGCCTGAGGACAAATGAATCAGCAGCTTGATGCTCAGGAGGCGACTTGAACCCTGCTTGTTGGCAGGCTTTTTCTTTGGGACATTCTGAACTCCTCAGTTCTTCAACTTTTGTCATTTGTTTGTTCATGCTGTGATTAAAAGTTTTGGTTTTTAAGTCCTTGTCACATATTCTTTGTCACTTTTTAAAGGATCTAATATTTACTGTATGTCTCAAATCAGTCACTGATAAGACTGTTTTTTATCTATAGGGAACAATCAATCTGGGAAAAACTGAGTCAAAACATAAACAATTTCAACACAAACTACTGTATAGACAGAAACTATTGATTAAATTAACTCAATTTATCTTGATTAAGGTACTAAAAAAATTACAGGTACACAACTAAAAAATGTATTTGCCTGAATGTGATGTTTGGGTATCGCAGAAAAAAACATGGATAGAAAACTACTTCACAGCTAATCAAAATATGTTAACCTAAGTCTTAAGGTGTGTTTGAAGCAATTTGGGAGCTACACTTAAAATTACATGATGTGAAATCCATCCATACATTATTTTTTACCTGCTTCCATTTTGGGTCGCTGGTGTCCCATGTCCATAAATCACTGCGAGGGCAGGGTACACCCTGGACAGTTCACATGTCCACAGAGACAACCAAGACAAACAACTGTTCACTCACACCTAGGGACAATTTGCTATCAGCCTAACATGCATGTTTTTGGGAGGAAACCCACGCATGCAAGCTCCACCCAGAAAGAACCCCGCACCGGGATTTGAACCAGGGACCTGCTCGCTGAGAGGCAGCAGCTCTGCCAGTTGCACCACTGTGCTGCCCCTTGTGAAATTTTATCAAAACGTTTTTTGTAATTGGAATGTGCAAAATAACTTGGCGAGTAGCTGATTGTGATTAAAGTGGATGCAATAGGAGGAGCCAAACGTACAAATTAACTGGTTGTGGAGATGTGTGAGAAGCAGTTAAGTATTTATAAGCAAATTTTGGAACAAGTTTGTGGGTGACACATCCCACCCCACTTCCTGATGACATCTCCAGGAGGAAGCATAAAATTAGCAGTGTTGAACCCAAAACAACCAGAGCACCATAAATCTATATCCTCATGACCCATACTATCAAAAAATTAAGCCACTGGACTCTTGAGCCCAGTCAGGTAGTACCGTAAAAACTTTAAAAGGCTAGGATAATAAAAGTGACTTAATCTACATAATGTAAGATATCTGAAACATTTGTTAAACTGGCATGTACCAAAGAACACAAACACCTCAAGTTATTTAACCCTGACTTGCTTCAAAAACAACATTCTGTGATAAAAATGATGCACTGAGTTCAGATTCTGTCCTTCTGGAGTCTTGAGTTGTAATCTGGCAGGGCTCAAGACAATTTTATAAATGTACTCTGTCCTTGTATGTCAAATATTTCATCCTGTCTTTTGCAACATAAATTTTAAATAGCTGTGTCCTTGCAGTTACCGTTTTCATGACATTTCCTGACTGCAGCGTTGTAAAGTAGGTATGTCACCTTGAACAAAGAAAATCTCTGGTTCATCTCGGGCTTTGTTCAGTGGATAAGTGACTGAGTGAACGTCAGGTGTGTGTGCTGACATCCACATGTAGTGAAAAACAGTATCTAATGTATTTCAATGGTGGTGACCTGTCCAGGGTGTGCTGCCACAAAATGACCACATTTCACATAAAATAAAATAAAACTCTAACATGAAACAGTTCCTGTGTGTGAACTGTGTTCATCTGGTAGTTTGATTGACTTTTTTAATGACTTTTGTGGAATCCTAACATCTGTTTTTCAGATCTGTAAAACATTTTATAGATAACTGAGTTGATTGATAACTTTATTCGAGTTTTCAACTGCAAACTCTTTTTATTTTAACCGCTGTTAAAACAAAACAAACTAATACATACCAAAACTTAAAAACTTTCAATTGATTTGAAAATAAGTTTCACTCAGGAGATCATGTGAACTATTGGACTTTTCTCGGTACCTCACGTTTTATATTTGTAAGCAGTAACCGGGATGAAAAATTTCCAACAATAATATTAAATCTTAATAAGTGCTGACATGAACATTTAACACAACATGGGACAACAACAACAAAAAAAGATAGAACTTGGAACTTTTTGTCTCTTCAACCCAGATTTTCCCACAGACAGAAGTAATTATTTGCGGTGTTGAGTCTAAAGAGATGTTTTTAAATTCTTCTGTCAGCCATGAGACCCAGCGCTGCCCTGACTTTGACTTTTCTTGCACAGCCTGCATCATTTCAACACCACTGACTAATGATCATATGAGCACGACTTCTGCTTCTGAGGGAGCACAGAAGGAGCTGACTGCAGGTTTTTGATACAGATGTGCAAATGATGCAGTTGTTCAAAGAGATGTTTGTGGCCTCTGGGCATTCCAGGACCAACTGCTCATCACTAATTTCTTTATTTTTTACTGCAGATGCTAAACTCTAACAAACATTGTGAGGATAAAATAGTTTTTCAAAGTGCTAAAATGCAACATGTGCTTATGAAACGCAACATGCAGAGCATCCGCAATAATTAAGTGTGCAAAAATAAAATAAGCAAGACATTTGTATAAAAAGATTCTTTGAGGTAAAAACTGCCCAGCTGAAATTGCTTAATTGGCCTTTTTGTTGTCTTTTTGTCAGGTGACCCACAGGACTTGTTTGTTGTGGAGCTTGAGTGTCTGTGTACACAAAGGATCATCGAAGTCTTCACCCTCTGAGCAAACATACGGATAACTGCAAGGGTGTTACCAGGCGACAAAGACGCATTTTTAGACCCCGTTTTGTTTAGTTGGTGTAAAAGCTGGGAACGAGAGGCGTGAAAACACAAACGTAATCATCACCAATGACAATTTCTGGCTCAAATGTTGCATTTTGTCTGCTTTTTTGTAGTTGTGCCAACAGGATCTGGAATAATCAACCCACACTCTGCCCGTGGTGTGTCTGCAGCTTGGATACACTGGAAGCTGCCACCAAGGAGATTTGATTAAAGTGCACTTTTCTGCTTTCAGTGTAAAGGTCCACACATTGATGTTAAAATGTCAGGTTTCTGGGACACAAACAAAGGGAATCCATGATCAGTCATTTATTTAAAATTTATCGTGACATGTGTTCTGTACAACTGAACTGAAAATCAAAACCAGTTTGTGAGAAAAAAAAAAGCCCATGGATCATCAAAAGTGCACCATGTCCACAGTGGAACATGGCGCTGGCAGTATCATGATGTGGGGGTCACAGCAGGAGTTTTAGTCAGCTTGGATGGAAAGATGAACCTGTTTGTTATGGCCTCAAACCTTCCGTTTTCTGCTAGAAACATGAAAACAAAGACAAATTTCAGTTTTCAAAACGGCGCTCAACCCAAGCATACATTCAAACCAACATAAAAATGGCTTCACCAGAAGGAAATGGAAGTTTTGGGAAGGCCGACACAGAATCTAGACTTAAACTGTGCTGAAATTCCATGATTTCCAGAAGAACTGTGCACAAGAAGAACCACATTTGTGCACTTTTGTGAAGACGAGTGGGCAAATGTGACCAAGTCAAGGTGTGTCAGTAACACCTTCACTTTTAAGTAAACTAGAGGTAGTGGCTGAGAATCCTCCTCCAAGTGATAACACTTGCTGTGAGATCTTACAGTATCACATGAGGTTGAAGGCACAAATTCATCCAGTCATGAGCTGATAAGAGCTGGCATAAAGGTTTGAAAGGTGGCAAGTGACCTGCATTCTATCAAGAAATGCTAATCTGAGGATGCTGATTCGGCATTCTTGCTGTTGTCCATTGTTTTTATTTTTCCATACGCTTTCCATCATTTACTTACACTTTGTGCTTTTTTGCCATTTTTATTTCAAAGTGCAAGGCTCATTCAGGAGATGGGTGCTTTGGCCTTTAATTAATGTAACTTGACTTTTTTTTTTTTTTTACATTTTACTCTTTTAAAAGATTACAAATATAATTTTTAATTATCTTTCCCATATAAAAATACAATAAAATGTATTCTGTTCTGTGAAAAAAATATTTTCTCTTCAGAATGTTTGATCTGCTTTGTCATTTTATGCTACTTTTAGCTTTTAACAACCATTCTGTTACTTTTGTCTTGCCTTTTGCTACTTAGCTTCTTGAATTCTGCTTTGTTGAGCTTTAAGCTAGTTTGCTAAATTTAGCTGTTACATTTAGGCTACTTCTTACATTTAACTTTTAGTCGTTTTATTATTTTGAGCTTTAAGCTCCTAGCATATTTTAGTTTTCAGCTGCTATTCTGCTACTTAAAAAAAACCTTTTGTACTTTTAACTTCTAGCTATTGCTCTTATTCATTTGGCTTGTCTTTTGCAACTTTTATCTTCTAATTAACTTTTGACTTTGTTGCAGTTTTAGCTAGTCTTTTGCTAAATTTAGCTCTACCCAGCCTGTTGTAACAGTTTGACATAGTCTTGGTTTACATTTAGCTTTAAGCATTGCTACTTTGAGCTTTTAGCTACTTTTTTTGCTTTTGGGATTTCAGATAGAATTGAGTTTTTAAGCTATTAATTAGCATTTTGTTTATTTTCCAGTGTTCTGCAACATTTTAGAAGTCACTCAGCAGGCAAAATGCTAATTTCTCTATCATTTTTTTTATGTTTCTCATCAGCAGTTTGTTTTATTTATTCAGTGGAAATATAGAGGATATATCTCAGAGCAAAGACATTAAAAAGTTTTGAAAGGATTTGTCCTGATCAGAAGTCTGCAACCTGCAGCTCTGGAGCCACATGTGGCTCTTTGGACCCTCTGCAGTGGCTCTCTCAAGCTTTGACCAAAACTAATATAAAATTGAATTTTATAGGATATTATACCCACAACAAAAACTGACTAGTTTTAGCAGATTTCTTGTCATTTCCTTTGCAAATATGTGGATACTATTTTTAATTCACAGAGTAAATTATACTCACTTTAATTTTATGCTTTATTTCTTCAAAGTAGGATACTCAATTTATCCACAATAAATAAAAAACACATAAGCCTGCACAGTTCATGTAGTTTTTGAAAAAAATGGCAAAAGAATCCAGTCTTCTCTGATAGACTTGCGACTTGGACATGGTCACCAGTGACCCCCTGCAACCCAGAAAGGAAAAAGCGAGTAAAGATAATAGCTCGATGGATGGATGGAAGTCTTTTATCTTAAAATGTAAAAATACTAATAATAAATGTTAATCATTAGATGTTTTTAGTTTTATAATTTCACATCTACTGGCCAGAAAAGCCCCACTAAATAAGTGGCCCATGGGCCACCAGTTGACAATAACTGTAGCCGGTTTTGTGGCTTTGGACACGTTTAATTTAGTGAACGAAGGGGCAGAAATAGCTCTTAAAGGTTGCAGACCCCTGTCATGATGTCAAACTCTGCTGCAGTGGACTATGCGCATGCGCGTTAGGGAGAATTTATTCCAACTTGCTGGCCACCTAAACTACAGCAGCCAGTCGGCGTCGTTGTTAGAAGTGGTCCTTTTAGTTGCCATGGTGACGGTCTCACTCAGCAGCATCCTCTCGCGTCTCGGGGAGCAGCAGATATTTTCGCATTAATCACACAGCAGCGCAGCCGCAGCGCGTGACAAGTTAATCTGTCCGGGTCTGATTTGGACTGAGCCCGCCCCCCCACAGGGCTCAGTCTTCAGAAGGGAAATGAAACGCAGAGTCGCTCAGCTCGGATCAGAGTGCCCCGCAGAGCTGACTGAGGCGGATCGTCTCCGCCATGGCCCCGCACTTTAATCTCTTCCCTCGAAGCTCTCTCGAGTAAAAACAGTGATTCTCTGCGCTCGCCTCTCTGTCGCAGAGGCAGGTCGGAGGTGAATCCGCACCGAGGGGGGAGCTTATTATTATTGTTGTATGCGAACGGAGGACGCGGAGCTGCCGCGGATGATGATGGGCAGCAGGGAAGCCGCGGCTCCCGCAGCCCCGGCGGCCTCACCCGGCCGTCCGCCCGGGGAACGCGCGGTCGGCGCGATGTGGGCGTTCGGGAAATCCCTCGCCGCTGTCCTGCCGATCTACCTGGCTGGATATTACGGCTTCAGCATCAGCCTGGTGCTGTTCGGGCTGATGCTCTACGTGGGCTGGAAGCACAGCCGCCTGGAGAAGGAGATGAAGCTGAAGTCTGCCATGTACCTGCTGGAAAACGAGAAGGAATTCACCACAGAGACGGTCTTCAGAGCCAAGAAAGATTTACCTCCCTGGGTAAGAGACATGATGGTCCTCTGGGAGCATGCTCTGCAGGTTGGACCACCTGTGTGAGGCTGATGCTGCAGCTTATTAAATTCCTGCAAGCATGGCATTTATTAGAGTTTTACCCGTCGTGCATACAACCTGAGTCAGACTGCAGCATCTGTTTGTTCATTCCTGTGAATTAAGATGACAAACAGGAGCCTCTTTCAGTAGAACAATTGAATAAAAGATTATATTTAGTCAAACTTAAGTTGTTTTTTCCTGTAGTTCCTTTCGTTTAACTTCACTGAAGCAGCTTTGACCTTATCTGGCTTCAAAAACATGGTGACTCATAAACATCCACCAGAGCAGAGCAGAGATGGTGATCAGGACCATATCTGGAGAAAGGGCAAGAAGGAGTAAGCTCTGTGTGTGTGTGTGTGTGTGTGTGTGTGTGTGTGTGTGTGTGTGTGT